CCCAACCCGGCCCTCGATCCCTTCAGCCGCAGGAGAACCCAACCCCACCCCCTCCGCTCTCGACGTGGGCCACTAGGGAGGCTGGGAAAGAAAAAGGCCCGGTCCTCCCGCTTTTGTGGTCCCCCATCTGCGCGAGGTCCGTCCTCCAATTAGTTCCCCCCGGAAGCATAGTCCCTGAACTATTCGTTCCGGGCAACCATGGCGGAGGTCACGCCTTCCAAGGCAGAGCTGGAAGAGGCCGAAAGGGAGAAAGGGGTGACTCCGGCGGAGATCGAGGCCTGGATGGACCGAGCTCTGGAAATGGTGGGTGGTTGGCTGAGGAAGGAGGCGGCTAAGACAGAAAGAAAGAAAGAAAGAGGAGGCAAAGGAGGAAGAGAAGGCGCCGCAAAATGGAGGGCAGTCGAGGGAAGATGATGGACAGGACAGGACCAAATAAAAGCTCTGAAACACTAGTATAAATAGAAGTGTATGGTTCCTAGTCATGCTCCAAATGGAGGACGTTATGGAATTCCTCCTGGCTGAAATGGAGGATGCGGCTTGGAAAAGGAAGAAAAGTCTGGTCACTCAGATAAAAACACTAATATAAATGTAAATTCATGCTGCTCCAAACGGAGGGCATTTTGGAATTTCTCCTGCATAGAGGGTTGAAATGGAGGACAAGTCCTGGGAAAGGAGGACCTCTGGTCACCTTTAGCTAAAAACATTCATAAAAATATAAATTCGTGCTTCTTAAAGATGCCCAAAATGGAGGACATTTTGGCATTCCTCCTGGGCAGAAAGTTGAAATGGGGGACAGGTCTTGTAAAAGAGGACCAGAAGTCCAGAGGACAGCTGGACTTCTGCTGTTTTTCGTATCATGAGAAGAGGGTTATCAGTTCAGGATCATCCAAAGCTGCATCTATAATAATGTAGCTTGACACCACTTAAAGTGCTGCAGCTCCATCGTATGGAACCTGGGATCTGTAGTTTTACAAGATCTTTAGCCTCCTCTGCCAAAGAGGCTAGTGTCTCACAAAACTACAAAGCCCAGGATTCTGTAGGCTGATGCTGCGGCAGTTAAAGCAATGTCAAACTGTATTGTTTCTACAGTGAGATGCATCCCTAAGACCAGGGATTTCCAGCCCCTGTTGATGTCTAAGCCTTGTGCATTAAATACTGTACCAACAATACTTGCTCACAGTTTGCCATTCAAACTCTTAACACTGAGAACATATTTTCTTGTTTGAAAATTGAGGGAGAAATCTTAGCTGAAGGAGTTGTTTCCAGATCAAGGTGAATTGAGCGGATTATGGGCAAGAGCTTGCAGGATCTGGGCAAGGCAGTGGAAGACAGGGATTCTTGGAGGTGTCCCATCCACAGGGTCGCCATGAGTCGGAACCAACTCAAGGGCAGCTAACAACAACAGCACCCTATCATGCGTTCTGCCTCTATGATGGTGCAACGGTCTCCCATTTCCATATCTCCCAATCCTCTGTATAACTTTAACGGCTGCTTCCTGAGTAGCATTACCTCCCTTCTTTCATTGGCTATACCAGGGGTAGGCAACCTTTCCCCTTTAAGGGCCGAGGGACTTCAGCTCCCAGAATCCCAGGAGCTATTGGCCAACATGGGACTATTGGCCAACATGGCTGAGGCTTCTGGGAGCTGAAGTCCCTCGGCCCTTAAAGGGGAAAGCTTGCCTACCCCTGGGCTATACATCTCCCCTCACCACAGGGCTGGTCAGTTGACTACCCTGCTTATCAAACAGGCAGCAAGGAGACAGACCCTTACCTTTGAGTCACTCCCCAGTGATACCACCGGTGGAAGCCCTGCCCATATAGTAGTCCCCAACCCAGGGGCTAACCCAAGGCAGTTGCTGGGAGCTGCTGGCTGGGCCTCAGTCCTGCCAAGAGGCAGCTTCCTCTGTGGTGGAGCAGGAGTCCCTGGGTGAAGGAAGAGGTGGCAGATGGGCTATGCAGTCACTAAGTAGCAAACTCCCTCTGCTTCACTCCCAGATGGTCTGTGGGATCTCCTAGCTCTCTGCAGGGTGCTGGGCCTTGAAAACTGGAGACCCAGATCTGGCAATTCAAATTGTAAAAAAGCGAAAATAATACTGTGGTATTTTGTTGAGACAGAATTATTATAATGGAAATTTTTGTCTCAGAAGCATCTTAAGAAGAAATTGTTGGCTTTGCATTTCTGTTCCACTGTATGC